TTCTATAAATGTATTTTGCCTGTAATTTCGCTACAATTACTATTGCAGAGAGAGATGCCTGCATTATTCTGCAATAAATTAACATTAAATGAACCCAAATTTATGTACATATAAACGAAAATTATCACTTCCAGTCGCATATGTATATGCATACATGCATATATGCGTAAACATGTGAGTGAACATGTGAGTGTATGTAAATTTTCACTGCAAATGCAGAAAGCGCCAGCCATTGATTGCCATTAAAATTTTAAGTAAGAGCAATTGTTATTAGTGGTCGAAATCGTCGAGTCTTTTTATAAACATGAATTCACATAAAAGGAAATATACTTAGTTATGTACTTATATATTCATATATGCATAAGCATACCTATACATACATAAACATATGCTCGTATCATACCCAGTCGGCACAACGCCCACGCTCTGGCTCATATTTTTGGGGCCGTTGTGCTACCATGCGGACTGTAAATCCCCTGCTACTCAAAGTGTGGAGTCTGTGAAACATAATTGTTGCTGTAATCCCACTTTAGCTATATCGGTTAAACCCTCGTTAAACCCATGAACCTTCTTCTTCTTCTACAAAGTGTGGGACATTCCCATAACTGGGGTGTCCAATGTTGCCATGTTAGACCAGCTTACCACCAGCTTAACGTTTTTTTGAAATTACCACTCAGCACAAATTACAGTTATGCCAATTTCTAATTTGAAAGAACAAAATAAGTAAAATTTTAGGTAAAAAAGAAGCGATAAGTGTGCATGGTTTCCTCCTCATTTCCGCAGAAGTTGTTATGGGGCAACCCATTTGCCTTTTTATACAGTAGTCCATGCACGGTAGGGCAATAATTCTCACAGCTTCAAAGCGTCTTATCACGACAATTATTTTCCAACAATCTGTATTGAAAAAAAGGTGAGTAGAACATGCCTTGCCTCCGAGGAAGTTGTGCATTGAAACTTCATCAGATCAGCATTCGAAATGATCGTAGCGCCCCTCCTCTACAAAGGCTCGCAGCAATTAATTAATCGCCATAACCCTTAGAAGAGGTAACAGAATACTGCAAACGTATATACTTACATATCTGCCCAGCGATGCCCCTGCCAGTTCTGACCGAACGACCCTGCCTACAAGCAAGTCCGACTAACTGTAAGTCGATGCCCAGATTCGTTTGAGCCGATTTAACTGATAGCCGCTTAAGGTGGAGCTTTGTCAATAGGAACTACTTTTTGGAAGCTGTAATAGAAGATTCTTCGAGGAAAAATGAGAAGATAAATATGTATGTTGCTAAAGCGATGGAAGTTGGAATAAAGAAAACACTTGAATGCTTGAAATAAAACATGTCGATGCGTGTCTGGACATGACCAATCTTTGATGTAAATTTCCCCCTTTAAGGAAACTAAATCAGAAGGCCTTGAAACTATAATCATTATATACAAAAAAAGGGTAACGAATCGATGCTTTTGCAATAAAATATGTATTATAAATCAGGGTTCCTCGAACAACTTTAATTGCTTAATAATGCCTACTGGGCACTTCCTAGGAAAGCGCCATACATACGTATGTATGCATGTGCAAAGTCACAGATAAATGATATATATATATACGAATATATATACTTGCATTTGTATGTAGTAAATATCTACAAACATACATATCTGTAAGGACAAAAGCATTGGCGTTCAAAAAGAGAATTTTTACCGATTTAACCGCACTTTTAATTCGAGTATTTAAAATATTATTGTAAATGCTGGAAAAAGGCCAACGCAGTTTCGATTTTTTCAGTTTGAGATGTAATTGTGGCGATGTCTGTCTACAGCATACTCGTAGTTGCAGTGATGTGATTTATTTTTACATTAAAAATAACGATATTTTTTCACAAAAATTACACATTTTCACACATTGAGAGTGTTGACCACAATTGAATACAAGCGCATATAATAAATGAACATATATACCTATGTACATTAGAGTGCCTCATCAACATTTGCCGGTTATCCAGCGGAATTATAAAATCTATTATATTATGAGACTTCCGGCAAAATATTTCAGAAAAATATTAAAATCTAAATACGTGAGCCGGGGTGATTTGAAAAAAAAAAATACTCCAAAAATATCATTATTTTTATGCAGAATTTGTGAGCTTAAACTCTTCTATTATCTTATGTGATTTTTTAGGAAAAAAATATAAAACAAAATATCTTTATTTATGTATAAAAAACTCGGTTTTCGGAAATATTTTCAAACCGCTGCAGCTCAGGTAGACCTTAATATTTTTCTAAAATATTTTGGCGCAAGTCTCATAATATAATAGATTTTATAATGCCGATGGAAAACCAGTACCGATTTTTTGTTTTGTATGGGGAGTGATGCACCCTAATGTACATGCATGCAAGTGTAAAGGAATGCATACTTGCATACGCGCGCACTGGCACACAATGCGAAAATTGATGCTGCAATAATTATTGCATTGTGGCATTAATAGCATTTTGCAATTAAATAAATTGTTGCTGCTAAAATTGCAATTTGCTGTTTAAATATGCATATGAGCAACCTCGTGCCAGCAGGCTATTGGAAAAGCGGCAAGTGCATTCATACATATATATGTATGTATATGGGAGGTTCCATGAGAAACTGAACCTCAAAGCACAATTTTTTTTTCTTTATAAAACTAACAAATATGTGGATAAAACATGAATACAACTTCTTGAATCAACCGAAAAATAACAAATTAAAGCTTTTAATGCATTTTTATTGCCTTTTTTACGTTTTAAAATCAAGTTATAAGTAAATTTTTTGAGGAGGTTTAAAGTAGTTTGTGTTGAAAGTATTGTTTGGTAAGGAAAATATGTATTAGAACTTATCTGCGTATAAAAAAATTGTATTATATATTAAATTGTGTGAGTGCTTTATCTATATTTTGAGTTATTATTAAGCAGTATTGGTCTTGTCCCACCCGTGACAAAAAAAGGTAAAAGTTTTTATATTTAATTACAGAATTTGAAGTTGTGTTTCGGATTTGTTACATAGTGTTAGAACTTCATTGTCAATGTTTACCACAGTTGCATTTTCGTTTCCACATAGTTGGATAAGAATAATTCAACAGCCGAGCATGTCCCACCCGTGACAGCTACGGGTGGTCAAGTGCTAGACGTAGGTTTACAGGGCTGCAAAGCTTTATTTGTTTGTAGAGGTGGACGCAGGGGAGAAGGGCGGAAGCGCGGACTCGCCCATTACCTATATACCCTTGTGGTCAGCTGATCAAGTTATGTGTCATTTTGACCAGTTTTGGTTTTTACTTTTGTTTATTTAACGTTCACAGTTTTTTTACAAAAATCTATTACATAACCAGAACCACATAAATCAACATTTCAATCTTCGTACAAAAATTATAAATTTCAACAAATTTTAACAGTTACAGCCAAAAATTTTAAACTTTTTGTTCATAATTTTTAGAAAAATTCTAGGTATGCAGTTTTATAGCGTATTATATTTAAGTAGGAAAAAGCAAAAATTTCAATACGCTAGGAGATTTTCAATAATATGGACCACACTAAAAGCTCCTTTACATTTACAAAATTCGTACGTGTCCCACCCGTGACAGAGGATTTTTTTTTTAATAAACCCATAATTTTTGTTGTGGTTTTGCCTTTGAGCTTGCACTTTAATTTGATATACAACTCAATTCTGTAGCTACTCCAGATCGCCCTAACTAAGTTGTATGACTGAGCAATTATATATATAGACCAGTGAAGCGATTTCAAAGAAAAGTATGGGGTTTCAAAGACAGAATTCCAAACTTATCGACAGATTAATTTTTGTAAGTGATTAGTTCGGTTTCTGTCGTATAAACAACGGTAAATATTGGCTTATTTTGTGGTCAATTTCGAGCCTTTAAAGTGCTCTAGGAACTTAGGTTTTGCAGATATAACTTTCACTTTTGGAATAAAGAGTTCTTCGGAAATATTATTGTGTTTAAATTTTATATAAATTCGATAAAACTGCAGCATTTTAAAGCAAACAAAAAATATTTGAAAAAATTTGCTAATTTTTTTTTATTACCCAAATGCTTGAAAACCACTCATTCTACATTGAAATTGTGTCGAAGCAGCCAAGACGAAAGCGCTGGACTAACCGTTTTTACCTTCATTTTATTAACTCGGGATGTATGTAACTATGTAATATTGACGCGCCTAAAAGATGCAGCGATTTCTATTCTCAAGTTACATACCTAATGACAGTACGAATGGCAATTACAATAGGGAGGTTTTAGTTTTTTAAACTATAATTTTATTCTTGGTATAACGATGCTGTTTGCACACTGCGTATGGCAAAGTATAATTATTTTCATAAACTGAAATGCAGCGGCCACCAGACTGCATACATATACTAAATGGGTCCTTGCGTGGCCGGAATTTTTACTATTTCACTCAACCATACTAAAGGAAAATAAATTTTACCAATATTTTAGAAAATATCTTATGACATCATAGATGCTAATCGGAGTAGCCAACAAAATAAAATGATTTCAAGTTCAAGCTTTCATCTTGCAGTGCACCTCAGCATAAACTTTCACATACAGATTTTTTAAAGAGCTACAAGCGATTTCCAGAAACTTTAGCACAAGTGGGAAAACTCTGATTTTGTGTCAGGGTGATATTTCCCTATTGCTCAGTATGCTTCCATGAGAAAGCAGAAACCTTTTACTGAAAACCGTTGTCATTGTGACTAAAACAGATCGCAAACGCCAATCGTGCATTAAGAACGTAAATAATGTAAACACACACACCTCCTCGAGGTCTACTTCGCGCAGAAACTTGAAACTGGCCATGGCTGCACTTCTGTAAGATCACTAAAAAATAAAATATATAATTATTTCACCACAAGGACTACACCGAAGTAAAAAAAAAATCAATATTTATATCCCCTTTAGATGTCTAGTAATGAAAAGTAATCCATATTTTTCCTAGAGTTAAGTCAAATTACTTTATTTGCATGTTTTTTGTTTAGATCGCAATCACAATCAATCAGATTTTAGGAGGAGTACACACCACTGTTCTCCTTGATCCAGTCCAAGTAGGCAGTAACGCGAACAAAACCAGCTGGAGAACCCGATTGACAACCGGCACTAGAAACAAATGAGGTAACACCGATAAGCTCACCAGACGATGCCGAAACCAACGGACCACCAGAGTCACCGCTGCATGTGGAGGTGCCAGATGGAGTGGCAGTGCAAATAGTCCTTGAGGTAACTACTAGTGAACCATAGGTATTGGCACAAACCGAGTTATCAATCACTTGTAAACTAGCGTACTGCAACGAAGAGCTGACGGCAGTAGCAGAGTCGCTGACCAGACCCCAACCGGAAGCAGTGGCACTCTGGCCAGAGTAAGTGGAGTATGAAGAGGAGATTTTAGGCAATGCAATTTTGTTGATGTAAGAGCTGAAGGATACCGAAGCGACTTTAATAAGCGAAATGTCGTTTCTCAAAACCTGAGCATTGTAGCTGGCGTGTTGAATGAAGTTGCCGCTGGTAATGGTTTGGGTGGCCTTTGGGCTGGTACGTGCTGTAGCACCAAAGTAAAGAGTCACACTAGTAGCACTATGGATTAAATAAGTAAACATTTATTGGATTAAATAAGTAAATAGTAAGTAACTTCAATGGGCAACTAATTTTCAACTTACCCGCTGGTGCAGTGAGCAGCAGTCAAAACCCAGTTGTTATCAATGATGGAACCACCGCACCACCAACTACCGCTGCTGCTAGTGAAACTCAAGCCCACCTGGTAAGGGAACTGACCTTCGCTGGCAGTCTGGCCATTGGTAATACGACCTTGTTGCTGATCAAAGATTACTGGCAAATCGCGTGGATGCACAGGACGCTCAAATGGGTTGAGAAGGCCGGCAGAGGCCGTGGCCACAAACAATGCGAAAACAACGAACAGCTTCATTTTGTTAAGCGTATAGAAATACTTATGAAGTTGGTATGAAAAAGACAAGCCTTTTATACTCTTCGTCTAGAGACTTTAGTGCGTCAATTCGCTAATTCTAATATATGAGGTATTTTCAAGTGGTGGATTAATGAAGTGTGGCCTACAACAATAAGTAAGTATTACCCTAAAAGTTACGCAATTTCCAAAATAAAAAGTGTGATTTTTAAGTGCAGAAATGTACATAACGGAAGGCCCGTATATATAAATATACAATTTATTTCTTATCAGTAGTAGATTTTTTAACGTAGTTAATGAATGAATTTTATAATCTTTGTGCGTAAATCAAAAACTGATTTAAAGCAAAGCTTATCTCCTCAAGCCAATAATGTACGAAGTTTTAAAATTGTTACTTATCAGTGTTTGATGGTGCCTACATAAATATATGGCCCAAATTCTGTTGGGCCAGAAGATTTATTGAATGTTTTGCTTGTTTGTTTACTTATAGTGGCAATATTTATTTCTAGGCCCTAAAAACAGCCAATATTGCGTTTTCTTTATAACTTACTTATAAATTACAAATATTGAAATAATTTGGGTAGACTTCTACGTTAGTAAAACTGTACGAGACATAAGTTTCTGGAATATTTCAACCCTCCTGCGGACCTCTAAATGCATTTTTGTTTTTAATTTTTCAAATATACGGGTCAAAACGGCACTTTCGTTTAGGGAATTGTACGTCAAAATGTTCTACAAAAAAAAGATTCTTCGTAAAGCTTTACTTTTAATTTATCAGAACAAAGTATTTCGCTTAGAAGTAAATTTTAACTCTCCTATCTTTTTTTCAAAAGGATTTTGGGAAACAAGTTTTAAACTTTTTTCGTGCATAAAGAAAATTTTTCAGCTGAGCAGAGTCTTTGGGGGTATTGCTTGATGATCATAAGGTTGTCATCCTTAGTTGTAATTATCCCGTCCTCAAACTTAAGTTGCACTGTGTTATGACCCAATAATTAATTATCTCCTTCAACCAGTAAACTCAGTTATCTTGATTTTTTGATATACAACTCAATTCGGTAGCTACTCCAGATCGCCCTAACTACATAAGTCGTATGACTGAGCAATTATAAATAGATAATAATAGTCAATTAGGTGTCGCTTTATCAAAATGTAGAATTGTTCAGTACTTTATGCTTAAATTTAAACAAGAAAGACCAAGTTTTTCTGTTCAAATGTCCCACCCATCGGCCATGTACATTAAAGTGGTCCAAAATTTTTTGTTTTCGAGATAGGGTTTGGGCACCTTCCGAAATTTTTCCTCTTGCCGAAAGAGGTGCTGGTACCAAACTTTGCGTTTTTAAGTGAAAATTTAGAGGATGCTCATCACTCAGGAAAAAATATAGAACTTCGTACTTACATCAAGTCTAAATCAAGAATTTTGGTCACAAAAGTACGGTAATACCGAATATTCTTATGCGGAGTACAAAATTCTTATTTCAAGACTTTTTTTTTTAGATTGAAAATTCTACTTTCAAGATTGTTCATATGATACTAATATTTTACTCTAGAAGTATTGTGTACATATATTAATCAAACAAATGGCTAAGCAACCTAAGAACATTTCAAATTTAAATTATCTAAAAAATATCACAAGTTTCTGTTGTTATGGCTACAGCCGCTTTTTATAAAAACCAACAATATTTTTGCCAGTTTCACAGCGATTCAGCAGCGCATTTTAAAGTCATGGAGCACCCTGTATTGGTTACAGTCGAAAATTTAATGTTGGTATAGATATTACATCCTTTTCTAGGATGAAAATTTTTTCTCACTACAAAAATTTGACACTCTAATGTATAGAGCTGCAGCACTAGTATACGCAACGTCCTGTTGCGAATCGATGAATTTTTGTTGCTGTGTTGAACTACATACATACATATGTTACATACATATGTTACATAGAATCTACAAAAAATTTATGTTGATGAGATGGGAATATCAGGGCCTCTAATTAGTTGTTTACGCTCACCAAGAGTCCAAGATTCTCTCGGATTTCCACAACATGACCGTATTGCACGTGAATCGCCCACACATCCCTAAGAGCTAAAAGCCAAATTTATCACATTGTCATTAACGGAATATATGTACTATCACTTGGAACATTCTCAACTTACGTTATATCCAAGGAATCAATTCCGACTCGGATCACCACCTAGGTCCGCATACGTCTATATGAAATGAGGAAGGGGCGGCAAACAGCGCGACAAGATCTCCACGCCGATCAGCTGCGACAAACAACTGAGACATTTTGTCTTCGATCTACCAAGCACCAATTGGTGTGCCGTGTCGTTGCTATAGAGAAATACGCACCATACATAGCCACCAATCAAGCAATTGCCATGTGAGCGACTATTGAGCATTACCGAGCAATAGAGGAAGCAATTAGAGGTAGAAGAACGTGAGCGCGAAGAGCGTAAGATGATGACAGGCAGGAATACACCTCAAAATTTCTAACAGATAAAACGACAGTAATCAAATGGCATCGAGATCGGGGCTAGTTCCTCCAGAGAAGAAGATGGGAATCTGGTAACAAGATAATAAGTATGTCTAGAGTACACTGGAGATATGGAGGTAACAGTTCTCAACGCTTTTGAATGGCGACATCGGTGGTGCGTTTGATGAAGAAGATGAACCCAGACCTATTTGTGTATGTGTAGGAACTCAGCGCAAGTCCTCCCACTTCGCCAAGACGAGTTGAGAAGATCTATAATGCGGCTAAATAACAAGAAAGTCCCTGGAGCCAACGAAACGGGCGTACAGTGTTCTATTTTAGGAAATTTTTTTGGAATACCTTTTGTAACTAAAAACAGCATGCGATGAACTTTGAAAAATAAATTTTAAATGCGATTTTGGTTTTTGTCACCATGGAAATGAATTTCTTGACCCATGGACAGCAAAAATAAGTATTCAAAACTTTTTAAAAAGTACATTGCAGGTTCTACATTTGAAGGTTATTTTAAAAGTCAAGGTAATTTTTCTACCCAACCAGACTATTTTTATTTTATTTCTCTATCTGTTGTTATAGATCTATTTGATTTTGTCTCCTTAAAAAAAAATATATATATATATACATATACCAATATGCGGCGGCGAAGAGCTGGCACTAACTTTTAAGCGCAAAAGACCTTACTGTACCTGAGATCAAAAAAAACGTTGTCAGTAAAAATTATCCTGTTGGTTTTCAAGACATTCTCTAGCATGTTCTCTACAGTTTTCCATACGCTCAAACTAATTGATGAAGCAGTGATGTCACTTCCTTCTAAAACATTGTTTTTGAGTGATGCCAACTTCAAGCCGACTGAAATGACATTAGTGTTGCGAAACCTAAGGACTTGTTTAGTGACCCTCTTTTTCATATCGGACACGAAACTTGGTCTCACACTTTCCATTGGCTTCACATTTTTCTTATGTGTTGTCTTTTTTTCTTCGGATTTGCCAAAGCCAAAGAAACGTGTTTAATCTCTTGCTCACACGGCCCAATGGCAAACCTCCGAGTGTACATACTTCTGCCATAAAAAAAAGCAGAGCACGAATGCGAAATGAAGCTCGGCCAAACACGTAGAAAGCTTTTAAGGTCAAGCATTATTTTATTGGAATAAAATATGATATACTGTTCATCTCCAAATAATTTAGGATATAATTTTGCAACTATTTATGGGCTTCCCTTCAACTGCAAAATTTCGAAAAACTTAAAAGTTTTATCAGAGGTCAAGATTTGGATGAAATGAAAAAACTGGTTTGTTCGATTGAAAAATCCGGTTTATTCGATAAAACAAGATTTCAAAAAAACGGTCGAAACCGGTTTGGAAAAACCGAGTCGAATCACCCTAGTATGTACATATGTACATACATCAATTCAGGTAATAACAAATGTTAACAATACAACTGCAAAGATTTAAATATGAATTAATTACAATCCAATTTTAAACAGTAGCACCGCATGAAATTATGATCCCACAGCCGACAAATTGGATTAACTTAAGATGCAAATCAGTGAGGTGAAGCGAAACAAAAAAGGAAAATATAGACATACATACATACATATAGAGGATATACTATTTATGAAATGGAAAAGGTGAAATGCATAACTTCAAAACGCTTAGGATATTTGCATTTGATTTAGGGTAGCTGAAAGACATTACTGACTATGAATAGCCTTATGTACTTACATACATACATATGTATGTCCTCTTCCTCGCAGCGGCTAATACAGTGTGCCGCCGCCGCCGCCTGGCGCCAAGCAAGTCAACTGGAAATTTTGAAAACTCAAACCCAGTGGCGATTAATTTGCAGATTAGAAAACTGCAACTAAATATGCACCTCAAGTTGTTGATTAGTTTGTATGCTAAGCCAATCACGGTCTACTTTAAATGCAGGCCGGTGCGAAGATCTTAAATGTAGAAAGCACAGTAGCCTGTGTGGCATTTGCGCTAGTTTTTTGGGAGCGTCAATTATGCGCTTACAATTAGCTTGTTGAAGATTCATATCAGAGGCATCGAGATTGAAAATACATACATACATAAATACAATATGTAAAGGCATGTAGGTAAATTACTCGCAGTTTATGCTCATTATAAAGGCGGTGTTTTAAATTTTTTGTTTGGTAAATATTTTTCTAACGTGATAAGATCTAAGAAAATGCTCTTTTCATTTTCAAGTAAAATTTTGTGTTAAATCAAATTATACCTAAGTTTGAAAGTGGATGAGCATACAGGCATACAAAAAACATATCGTCGTTTAAAGTACAAAACCGCGTATCCACATAATGCAAAACCACGTATGTGAGGTTGCATAAATTATTTAGTAGAGAGTAAAAAAACCCTCTTATTTCAAAATGGTTCTCGCTTTTAAAAAGCAATGGCATTTCAGGCTAGTATATTGTTGGCAAAAATTAACAGTTACGCGGTTTTGCAGAGCGACGATACGCGGTTTTGTACTTTAAACAACGATAAGCATGTACTTGTATACACATACATACATACATAGATTTGTATGCATGAATGTATGTATGTACATATATACATATGTACGTG